ATTATTGTTATTGTAATTGTTTTTAATTTTATTATTATAATTATTTTTATTTTATCTTATATCTGCGCGTATGCTGCAGAATAAATATTTTAAGCTTAATTTTAGTGCTGCCACAAAAGATGCTATAAAAATGTATAACCAATTTTCAATATCAATGTATATTGATCTATATGTATATATAGATTTTAGCTTCGTATGTAGAGCGTCATTCCAATAATGCCCATAAAAGTATGCTATACAATTATTTTTTTAATATTTATATTTAATAATGTTTATTGAAGCCATATGAGGTACTCCAACAACCGCTTTGTGAGCTTATTGTATACTATTTTTAAATATTTTTTTAAAAATATATTTTTATTAAGACATATGTGGTACTCCCTTTTCTGATCTCAAATTTAATTGTAAATTAAAAAAATTTTTTTTTTTTTTGCCTTTTGATTTTTATATGGCGTTACAGGGAATTTAAAAGCAATACACATATTTCGAAGTAGACAAACTATATGGAGAAGTATTTATGAAGCTCAGTCTAGTTTAGCAATACACCTGGCGAGCTGGGTCTGAATTAACTATGTACTTATATCTGTATATGCATATTTGAGGCATTTGTTATTTATATATACAGTTTGTATTAAACATAAACATACAACTGTAATAACACAAATATTTATGGCTGACATGAACCGGCCTATCGGTAAGCAAACAGTCGGAAGTCGAGAGTTGCCATTTTTTTCTTTTTTGCTGCAAAGCCTTTTCTTGTTTTGCTTTTGTTTGATGAGCTGTTAAATGAAGAATGGTGAAGTGCAGTTGCCGCAACTTATCGACAGTTCCACGCTGGAGCGACACGCCATGGAGGTCGTGACGGCACTTCAAAAAATATGCCCGCAACAATAAATTTTCAGTTGAGTTGCCGTGACATCTGATAAATTTGATTGGTCCGATAAATGCCGCGGACGGCATTCCGCTTACGTAGCCTGGCGTGCTTTTACGTTTAGATTTTCAATTTCGATCAGGAGCCCTTTTACCGATATGCTGTTTATATAGTTTTCTGCCTAGACAGTGAGTCATGAAACGTTTACAGTTGGGGCTATTACTTTGCGCATAAAAAACAATAAAAAGCCGCATAAAACTGTTGTAAGTCTAATGCGCGACCCTTGCATAATAAAACGAAAGCGAAGCCAGCAATCAGGCCATGGCCCTGAAGGAGCAGCGGGGTCAACGGGTGCCGTAGCTCTGTGCAGCGTATTATGTTATTTTTATTATAGCACCCGCAGAGGTCGACCCGCCCTGGGGTGGAGGTTGGACGGCGGACTGGGCATCTGGCGTTGACATTTTTAGTCATAAATAAAATTCCAGCAATCCATTGCAACAAATAACAAATACGTAGCACAGGTAACGGCCGAGTGGGCAATTCGCAATTTTTTCTTTTTTTGTTTTGTTTATCGACTGTTTATGAAATGGTCATGCGATAAGCAAAACAACAGATTTTTTTACAGTGGGTGGACTTACACGCATGTGTGTGGGTGTGTGTGTGTATCTGTTTATTGTATTGTTATGGATGTGTCTGTTTCACGGCAATCAAATTACCGCCAACAGAGTCGGCACTCCGTGCACTGTGGCAGAAAATGTTATTAAATCCACACAGAGATTGAATCGTGTGAAAAAACAACAAGGTGGAAGAAAATAGAAATGATTCGCTTTTCTGTCATATGCGCACAATTTAAATGATAAAGTTCTGTTTATGACAAACTATTAGATAGCGTATATTTACTCGAAATTCCATGAAACATGGTAAATATTAATATTCTAGTGTAAATATATAACAAACAGGATATGTGGGCGAATGTGAAGTATGCTTGATACCAGCAATCGAGTCAATCCCGCTCTATGTGCCTGAAGATTAAGTTTGTTTTTAATAATCCGTAGCTATTCCCAATCGATTAAAAACAATAGCCAAATTTAGTCAACATATTCAAAAATATATCAAAATTCAGTCAAAAATAAATTTAAAAAAAAAAAGTATATAGATAGAGCGTACTTTGCATTAAGCTTAATGTATAGTTTACATATGTTTCATTTCGCTTGTATTTTAAACATAAAAAAAAATTATTTTA